TGTCATAAACAGTGGTCTGGCCATGCAAGCCTTGCATTCGCAATGTTGTGAGGTGAGAGTCCTGTGTAGTCCATTGTATCCCCAGCTTTGTCCAATAGAGCTTACTAAAGTTACATTGGAAGATCATGTGGGAGATATCTTCTTTGATGGGCAGATCACACAATATACAGTTGAAGTTGTTGCCAATATTATAATGCCTTCGCTTGAGCATGTTTCTAGTATTGAGTCTATCTGCGAGTAGAAGCCATCCGAAGAATTTGATCTTCATCGTAACCTTAGATTTCCAGAGCCAATGGTATGTTTTGTGTGCTCATACATCTCGGAAGTAGAACTTGTAATATCTTTTGGCCGAATAATCCTTTGCTCCCCACATGCATGTCCATTCATCGTTTGAGTTATGCGGGTCACCCAGCCCCATGTGGGCAACTAGTTGTTGCATGTTTCTCACCTCTGCATGGGCTTGCATGGAAAGGGGTAGATTAAACACCTCCTCCAGAGACGTGGTCTTCAAGAAATCTTCCACAAGAGCATCTTCATGTAGGGCAAATGAGAGTGCTCGGGAGTGAGAATCCATGAGTAGTTCATCTAGCCAGAGATCTTTTCACATAAGAACCATATCCCCTTTTATTGACTTGGATTGTGGTGATGCCACGGTAGATTGGCGTTAGTTTCAAGATATCACGCCACCAGAAGGATCTGCAAGGGTCAGAGGCATGCGAGATTTTGTTGGTGTAGTACGAGGACCAAATGAGTTCAACCCATGGGAGATCGTGTTTATTGTAGAACTTGTGCAAGTATTTGAAGAGTAGGGCATCACTTTGCACACTGAGATTAATGATTCCCATCCCACCACTAGCTTTAGGTTTGCAGATCATGTCCCAGGCAGCCAAAGAGCTGCATTTGTCCCCTTGCTCAGTCTTTCTGTTCCATAGGCACTTTCGCCGAAGTTTGTCCAAAAGATCTAAAATTTTAGGGGGAATTCGGATGGTGCAAAGAGCAAAGATCATCAAGGATGTGATGACGGAGTTAATCAGGGAAAGTTTGGCTCCATAAGACATCAAAGACAGTGTGGTTGTTATCTTCCTTTCTACTTTGCAAACGAGTGGCATGAGGTCTTGGATCAAAGGTTTCATAGTCCCCAAAGGAAGGCCCAGGTATGTGAACAACATAGTTCCAATCGAGCATCCAAATATATTGGCTAGATGTTCACTAAGGCTGGCCTCGTAGTTGATCGGAATCATAGTTGATTTATGAAAATTGATTTTCATCCCAATCAACGAGGCATAGTCAATGAGGATGTCTTTGATCAGGGTGGTCTGATTGGGGCATGCAGGCATAATTAATATGGTATCATCCGCATATTGGATCACTGAATAGTCATGCTGGTTTCATCTTGGGAATGGTAGACTAATTTTACCTTGTCTGAAGGCTTTGTTAACTGCTGCCTGAAGGACATCGACTGCAAGAACAAATATTAAGGGCGAGAGTGGGCCCCCTTGCCGTACGCCACATTTGCATAAGAACTGTCTGCCAGGTACCCCTTTGAGAAGAACCGAAGATTTCCCTGAAGTAAATATGCTTCTGATCCAACCGAGCCATTTGTCATTGAAACCCATGTGTTTCAGAATTTCTATCATGCCCTCATGTTCAATAGTGTCGAATGCTTTGGCGAAGTCAATCTTGAGTAGTATAGTTGGTTTATTGGAGGCTTGGCATTGGAAAATATACTCAAAGGCCCATGCAGGGCAATCTTGGATGGATCTCCCTTTAATAAATACATATTGGTTGCAGTGGATTATCTTCAAAATCAATTTTTGTAAGCGGTTGGCCAGAAGTTTGGTAATCACTTTGAGGCAACAATTTAGCAATGTGATGGTCCGAAAGTCTTTACTGTTGCGGTGGATGAAATCTTAGGTAACAGTGTGATGAAGCCCTCATTTATGCTTTCTAGGTTTAATCCCCCTTTGAAGAATTGATTACCCTAGCTTATAAAAATCCTTTATAATGTGCCAGCAACTTTTTAGGAAAATGCTAGTGAAACCATCTGGTCCTGGTGCCCTATCCGGTGGCATCTCACGAATAACATTGTCGATTTCCTCCTTAGTGAAGGGGATAGTGAGTTGGTCCAAGTCTGCAATTTTCTTGATGATTTGGGGTAGATCATATTTCATTTGAAAATTGCCAGAGGTGCCTAACCTCTCTTTGAATGATTGGTATACAATAGCCTCTTTTCCAGCATGCTCTTCAATTTCAGTGCCATCTGATAATGAAAGAGTGGGAATGTTGTTTCTGCGGTATATTTCTAATGCCAAGGCTTGGAAGAACTTAGGGCATTCGTCACCAAATTTCACCCAATGGATCGTACATCTTTTCTTCCAGTAAGCTCTTTGATATGATAATAGTCCGAGGACGTGTCTTTTAAGAATTTTCCTGAAGTTTGTCTCTGGAAGTGTAAGAGCTCTTTTGTTTCCAATTCATCAGTCGCTGCAAGGGTTTTGCTAGAATTCAGTATTGCCATAGAGAGTTTTGAAATGCCCTTGCTCCATTGTTTTAGATCATATTGAAGGTTTTTGAGTTTTCTGCAAAGGACAGTGGCAACATTGTTGCCTCAAACTGATACACGGATAGATACACATAACATTATAGACATATACGAAGTGTTATACAACATAAAAAGACTATATACACAAACATATGTGTGAATCTTGGCGCACAGTACCGGTCCACAAAGTGTGTGCCCCCATACTTGCATGCCCTAAATCCTCCCCCGCCATGCAATGCCAAATGAACTATATCTATCAACTGTCTTTCCCTACTTATGGCCTTCTCCCAAGCTCCTTTCACTACCTCTTCAACAGAAGGTTCTCAGCCAACGTGCCTTGAATCTCTTAGTGGAGCTTTTCCTATTGCCAGTTTCCACCTTGAAATAATCAGCGTGAGTCTGATTTTGTCATGCTCTCATGTACTTCCTACGTATAGTCCATGTCCATGAGCCCACAATAATCATGGCAATCTTGGAAGGGCTGCATGAATCTCATCGGTCGTTTTTTTCTTAAAAAAACAAAAGGGTTTCCCCCGCCCCATTTTTATTGCAAAAAACGAGGCAACGGTCCGGGGTTACCTTACTCCTCGGAGTTCAGCAAAAATCTCATTGCAGTCTCCTAAGACACCAGCCACAGTACCTTAAGAAAGGCATGCAAATCACGTAGATCAGTCGAGGTTATATCCTTCAACTCCTAGCTAGGCTCCACATTTACACCAGTGAGTCTCCACTTCTCACCCCCTTCCGCCACAACATCAATGTGTTGATTAGTTGTACTTAGTGTTGATGTATGATGTGTTGCCTAGTTTTTTCCATCAGATCGGTCTTTTGGTTGTATTGGCTAGAGCATGCACTTCTACGTGATATCGGAGTTAAGAGGTCTTGAGTTCAAGACCCGGCTGGCGCAATTAAATTGCGGCATGCACTTCTACATGATATCGGAGTTAAGAGGTCTTGAGTTCAAGACCCGGCTGGCGCAATTAAATTGCAGCCCACTTTCGGTCCACGTTTAGGCCTGAGGAAGCCACACGTGAGGGGAGTGTTGACGTATAATGTGCTGCCTAGTCTCTTTCATCATATCGATCTTTTGGTTGCATTGGTTAGAACATGCACTTCTACACTTAGTTCTTCCATCTTCACCTCATCGCTCCACAACATCACAAGACCCCCACTCCTCCCATGACTTTCATTAGCAATCAAATGTTGGAAACTCGTTCTATTCAGAATTTTTTTCCGCCTTACCTTTCGGCAGATGTGTCTCAGACAGAAAACATACATCTGGCTTTATTTGCTTTGGACCTCCAAAAAATGCACGAACTGCCCGAGCTGAATTCATCCCGCAGCAATTCCACCCCATGATTTCCAGTGCTCCAGCAATGATCTGCCAATTGTTATCCCGTAGAAAACTCTCTCTAACCTCTGTTAACCAAGACTTGAGGCACCCCGCGTCGCAGTAGGAGAGGATGAGTAGGAAGAAACTCAGAGTAAACAAAAACTCAACGTCAAGGCGACCCGACGAGAGGACGAAGAACCCTAGACATCACCAGGGGAACAATCCTAATAAAGCGAGCCAATCAATTCTGGCGAGTACCACCGTCAAAGAACTGAAGTGCTTTAACAGGATTGGCTTACCTGACGATCAACGTAGAGCGTCCCACGTCAAGGCAGCAACGGCTATGTACAGGAAGAAGCCGCTGACGTCAAAGGGTTCGACAACGCTGGCCGTATAGGGAGGAGGCTGCAGCGGCCAGCGACCATGTGTAGTAGAAAGTGACATCAATCTTCTGAGAAGGGAGGACCTGCCACCAGAGAGCAAAGCAACTGGCGGAAGCGAGGGAAAGCACAACCTTCGGGAGAGAAGGCCGTTGCCTACGCTATGTGTGTGTCCAGGTGTTAAAAGAAAGTTGAAGTAGATGTTCCAATTTCAAAGAGATTGGGCGTAAAAGGGAACAATATCATTTTACAAGTGCCATTCCGTTCGATCAAAGGACAGAAGAAAAAAAAAATCTGCAATACTACCTCCGTTCCACAATTTTTTTTAAAAGTCAAACATTACAAAATTTGATCAAATTTGTAGAGAAAAACATATACATCTAGAATACTAATTACACAATACATCATAAGACGTGTTTTCATATTATATATATATATATATATTTCGTGTCATAGATATAAATAGTTTTATCTATAAACTCGATTAAAGTTTGTAAATTCTGACTTTCCAAAAAATCTTTATGAACTACATTATGGAACGGAAGGAGTACAATCCAAAAAGGCACATGGGTCTATCACTTAGTTTATCAGACAACTAGCAAAATAACACGAGACACTCCTCTGCATCCATAATATATCCCACACACAGAGCTTGTCGAATTACACAAACACATGTTATCTCAGTGTCAGTTCTCCTTGTTATTCTCTTTTTTTCTCACGAATAAGGAGCTTGCAGATTTACCAGCTATTTACTCTCTTTCGAATCACTTGCTGGACTCTGCAGTTTGTGGTTCTCCTCTGAAGGTGTGACCAAAACGTCTTTGTCACTGAACCCAAGCTCTGACATATCTTGCTTCGCCATCAGGTTTCTGGATTGTACAAGAACAACATGAATTAGAATCCTACAGGACAGAGCAGCAACAAACCAAGAAATTAGAATAATAAAAGTGCATCTTGTTCATGAGCTTGAATAGTGGATTTCAGACATCAAAGCTGGTAAGGACTCATACGACTGCAAGTGGCAGAACTTTAACTATTACTAGAACGATCATGCGAAATATCTTAAAATCAACTACGGCAAGCACTAAACATCTCCTAAAAGGCTAAAGCTAGTAGTTACATATTTGTGGTTGCCTGGTTGGCAACATTGGTTGCTTCATGCAACCATCAAATAGACATACCGCCAGAGGAGGCAAATAAGACAACATGGAAGGACGTCAGGCTTGGTTTGCTGTAGGCTAATGCAGCAACAAACTGTTTCTTCCCTCAACTACCAAAACTAGTGGTTCATGCTGCAGCAATAAACTGTTTTTCTACTGTGGCAAGATTATATATATAACCCATGCATGCTGGTTCGCTTTGTTTTCTATTTTGATGCCAAACACCTATCCTTGCCTAGCAAGGCCAATATTAAGTTTGCTTAGGAACCAAACACACCCTAAATCATTACACATAAATTCTTCAAGTCATGGATGTGCCAAAAAAGAGGTTGAGCTAACTACAATACTACAATACAAGTAGTTACTTCTGAAATTATTACACGGGGAGTAAGCAAGCTAACCTCTCCATCCTACATTCCAAGTATTTCTTCGAGAACATCCGACATTTTTCAGACTGAGCCCCTGTTGATTTCAGGCAGGCAAGATAGTCCTTCTTCTCCTGTTTGAAGAGGCAGCTCTCATATAACACTCACTAACATTACACCCTATGAGAAACAAAACGATTAAAACTTACCAGGTCACACTCATGCAGGTGATCAAGAGGGAATACACCCTTTTCAGGAGGTACAGGCCTCACTCCCCTGTTTCCACCAAAAGCTCCACCTGTTAAAACCCACACGGGTTATTCAAAGCTTCATACATTAGTATCATGTTGCAAGTTAGTCATGGGGTAGAAAACCGGCAACACACGAATGGGAGCCAAAGCTCTTGGTCATTGTCAGATGCGTGAAGCCAACAACTGTAAGCATGAACCAACAGGAGCATAGGAGATCAATCACAAAGACAGGTCCTCACCTGCACTCATTTCCCAGGCACTCCAGGATCCAGATCTTGATACCGTCGCTTGCAATGCTCGAACGCTGCAGTAAGCCAGCAACACAACACACGAGTCAACCCGAGGCATACGTGCCGACGCGGCATTTCATCGAACAAGTCAGGTGCGCGCCTAATATCATGCACGGATTCACCGAAATTTAGAGCGCCAGGACAGGAGGCACTCACAATGGCGGCGGCAGCGTGGGTTCGCTTCAGAAGTCTATACGCCGGAGCGAGGGACGGCACGAGCGCAGATGGACGGATGGAGCAGGCCAGCGAGGGGGCAAGCTCGCGCCGGGGCGGAGTGAGAGGAGTGGCGGCAGACTGGTAACTCCCTTCGCGTCGGAGAAAGGTGGGGACTGGGGAGAGAGACGCTGCCGCCCACCTGGCCGTCGCGGGGAGAGGGGATGGCGGCGCGCCGGCGAGGAAGAACAAGCAACCTCGGATCGGGAAAGGGGTAACTGGGTGGGCTGGGCCTTACGGGTTAAGGGAGAGCTGGCCCAGTTGGTACAGCCTGTTTGGGCCGGGTCATTCCCGCGGGCCCTCTAAGCCATCATTATTCCTTTGGTAACATCATTTATATGTTCTCAAAAAAATGGTAACATCATTTATATTTGTCTCAAAAAAATATTTGGCTAAAAAATCATTTATATGGCAACAATAATCCTCAAAAAAAATGGAAACAAGGACCACCTGCAATTTTTCCAAAAGGAAAAAAACAAGGACAGTCTCCACATTTGCAAGGAGTAGTCAAAAATATATTGGATGATCGTGTCGAGAAGTTGTTGAGGTGCATCAGCCAAGAAGTTGGGTGGAAGCATTGCGTGGATTCTGTCTTGAAATTCCTAAAACATTGCACTTCTAGGTACAAAATGTCCCTAGATATACAAGCAAGCAGTAAAGAATGCAGCCCCACTTGTAAGAAGTATTTTACAAGTAACTTCAGCAGTTTAGCAAAAGAATTGGTAACTTGTATTGGTACATTCTTCGACCATCTTCCAGCAGATACCCTAGGCAAGAACTTTGACAAAGATGATGTTTATGAAAAGTTTGGTAAATAAAGTGCAGCAGATATTATGTGTAGATGATCTCTCTGATGATGATCTTTTTGCAATCTTCAAGCCCTCCAACAAACTTACTGATCCTTCTATTGGTCATCATGACCTGATAGATGATGTAACTGAGGATTTGCCTGACCATGACATCTCTCTACATAACCCTTCGGAGATAAAATCTATGTGCATTAAAACCCTCATGGATCTCTAATAAATGTGGCTCCCATGTGAAGAGAATGAATCTTCAATTAGGAACTTGTGTTTGAAGAAAGCAAAATTCACATTTTGCACTGCTTCTGGTTCATTTGAGTTGTCCAGGTTGCAAAGTGGGATGCCTATAAGCATCTTGGTTATTGACGAGGCGGCAAAACTAATAGAATCTTAATCATTGGTTTCTCTCTTGCTCCCGGGAATAGAACACGGTTTACTTATTAGGGATGAAAACCAGCTATCATCACTGGTAAAGAGAAAGATATTCTTTATTTTATAAGAATGTGTGTCATATTCTGCCATTATCTACGTATGTTACTGATAACCATTTCCAGACTTTCTTAGTTGGTCATACTTTCTCCTTACTGCTGCTTGCTACATTGCTAAAGATGTTGACTTTGTACGAAGCCTCTACGATAGATTGTGTACAATGAGTTACACCAAACACTTGCTGGAAGTACAATATAGAATGCCCACTTGCATTAATAAATTTCTGAATGCCAACTTTTATGGTAATCAGATTTTGGATGGTCCTAGTGTCAAACAGGAAGACTATACGAAGAATTATTTCTCTAGACGGGTTTATGGTGCTTATTCATTCATTGGAAATGATACGGAAATGGTTGACGACCTTGGCCAAAGTTTGAAAATATGGTCGAGGTTGCTGTAGTAGCCAATATTGTCAGAAGACTTGCAAAAGGTATATCCAAAGCCTCACCTATTACATATCATGTTGGATGAAAAAAACTTCTTGCTAAGCCTCAGGGTTTGAATAAAAGCTAATTACTATTTCTGTAAAACTATCGTAGAATATTGGGAGAAGAGGCAAAGAACCAATGTTGGTGTAATATAATAACCTTGTATACTACCCAAGTGATTGCAATGCAAGAAAGAATTGGAAGAAAGTTTGCCAAACATGAGTTTCTGTCTGCCACAGACAAATCTATCGATGGATTTCAAGGTGGTGAGGAAGACACAATATTAATTTCAATAATTAGGTCCAACCAAGATGAAAAAGTAGGGTTTTTCTCTGAAGGGATTTAATGTGACTTTGACAAGAGCAAAGTAAGTTTTCTTAATTCAGTAAAGAATTAGTTTACACTACATTTTCATTTACATATCTCTGTGTTTTTTCACCGGCACTGCCTTTGGATACTTGTAATGGAGCCACTTTGCTTACAAGCAATTCAGTATGGGAAGAATTAGTCAGTGATTTGTAAAACCTGGATGTTTCTTTGATGCTCTTAAGCACAAGGATTTAACAGAAACAATGAGGCTTGCAACCAACGTCATACATATATATCCTTCTCGTTATGTCCATATCCATCTTGCCTAACAATTTCTGATGGTTATGGTTTTCCTCCAACGCAAATCACATGGCGTTAAATCTACAACTGTCGGATCACGGGTTCCAGTAAAACCCTCGAGGTTCGAACACTCGGGTGCGCGCGAAGGTTTTCTCCCTATCGATCCACACCCTAGCTAGCTCGCTAAGATCTCATGGACGAACTTGACGAACTCACAAGACAAAGACACAAGATTTATACTGGTTCGGGCCATCGTTGTGGTGTAATACCCTACTCCAGTGTGGTGGTGGTGGATTGCCTTTTGGACTAATGATGAACAGTACAAGGGGAAGAACAGCCTCCTGAGGTTGAGGTGTTCTTGTGCTTGGCGAACTTGTGTGGGTGAGATGCCTCTGAATGAGTTCTCCCTCCTTTTCCCCGTTTCCTCTTCTCCCTTTCTCCCCTTTTCTACTGTGGTGACTAGTTCTACTTATATAGGCCCTAGTCTTCTCCCCAAATATTGAGCGGGAAGGGAGCCAACAATGGCCAATTTGAAAGGGGACAGCTAGTATAGCTTATCCTGACAAAACTAGTCTTCGCCTGCAAAAGGCTCTGGTGGTGACGCCGTCTTGAGCTCCATGGTGACCTCCGTCTTGTCATCCTGCTGGTCTTGGTCTTGTTGCACCGATATGGAAACCTTTCCTTGATGCCTCGGCACTCCACGCCTGCGATTGTCCCCTTGGCACCAAAGAGGAAACAAGGACGCTGTGTGCGCTGGCGCCCGCCTGGCGCCCGCCTGGTCTCAATCGTCATGGCTCATGTCACGAGGACCTCGCGAGGTTTGCCTTGCCTTGATCTCTCCGCCCCTCGTGAGCCTGCCTGGCGAGGCCGCTCCTGAGGAGGTCTTGCGTCGTCCGCCTCGTGAGGCTTGGCCCTTCGCGAGGGTCTTGAATACCTCATTGATGAAGACAGACCGTACAGACCTGCTAGCTCAGCCACGCCGGGCTGCAGGCAGGCAAGTCTGGGGACCCCCGTTCCCAGAACGCCGACAGTAGCCCCCGGGCCCAAGGTGCGCTCGGGCTTGGCTCGAGGCGAAGCCAAGGGTCAAGTGCGGAGTGCCGCGGGCCCCAATAGCATGCGGCCTCGGTCGACGTGTGGCGGTTGATTGGACATGGGCATCTCTGCTTGCCCACGCTGCCTCGGCAACTTTTCGACTTGACAAGTCCCTGCGACATGCAAGGAAAACCATCATTACCTGTGATCGTGGGGGGCGCTGGTTGGCCTTCTCCTGCTATAAATGAGGAAGGGGGCAGAGCCCCCGTCCCCCACTTCTTCCCATTCCACTTGCTTCTTCTTCCCCCGCTCTACTGCTAGTAGCAACTTCAATGGCGCCGATCTGAAGGTTATCAGCTGAAGAGAAGGGAAAGATTCCCCTCGACATGCCGGTGCTGCTTCCGCCGAAGAAGAGGTCGGTCCACCGTCGCGACGCTGCGGCGATGCAGGTGATGACGAGGCCTTGGTGTGAGCGGCCTCCTCTTGGGTATCCACTACCCTTGCACGCCCAAGCCGAGGGCTCGGGAGGAAGGAGCAATGAGCGTCGGCGCGCGCACCGCGACCAAGGTCGACGCGTTGTGGAGATGAGTGCCACCGCTCCTGGAGTCCATGTCGCGGGCTCCTCAAGCAAGCTCGTGCTATGGGCGGCGATGCCCTCAAGCTCCTGGATCTGCTTCCCATGCTTCTTCTCTAACGTGATGCCACCGAGGGGGCCTCTCGAACTTTGGTTGCAGCATGCCGACTGCGATGCTCCGGCGACCGGAGCAGAGGTTGAAGCAGTCTCCACCGGCAAGATCTTCATGACCTGTGGCTGGGGCGAGGTCGCGCCTCACGATCCACTTCGAGTATGACAGCGCCTCCATGCTGTTCTTCAAGGTCTTCGATGCGGAGGGTCGCCGCTTGGAGTGTTGCCCCGAAGGGGAGCGCCAGGATGAGGCGCGCCCCGCTCGCGGCTGCTCCAGCAGTAGCGACTCTTGGGAGTCCAACGGTTCTCCCGAGCTCTAGGAGACTCCGGAGACGAGCGACGATAGCTACGTGCCCCCGAGCTCTCGCCGTGCCCGGAGCAGGGCCGCAAAGTCTGGCCGCCGCCATCGCTAGTCTGGATGGGGTTGGTGTCGGCCTCCCGCGGCCCACTGTTGATGATGGCGTCGGCCGCGGGGGTGTGTAGATAGGATTCTCCTAGGTTCTCGTCTTTTGTTCCCTGAGAGGAATCGAGAAGTACCCCGTGGGGGTGTGTAAAGAGTCTGCAATGTCTTTTGTTGATATTATCCCAATTATGGAAGCCTTGTGAGCGCAAGTCCTGTTTAGGCTTGGGCTTCCCTTTCCAATCTCGCGACAGCTTGTTGCTCTATGCTGATAGGTCCCGGTCCCCAGGCAAGCTTCAG